TCAATCTTAGTTTCTTGTCACTTTGGTAGCACAAAGCCCACCAATGCTTCCAAGTTGAACTCTGATAACTCACATGCAAATTCAACTTATTTGAAGTAGGTACAGAAATAAGAATTATGTCAACACAATAGGTTGCAAACCTTAAGTCGTGTGCTAGTGATAAATTACAAGTTTTACTCTTGATTAAATCTTGAAACTCTTTCAGGATCTTTAAGGCTCCCACTGTCCCCTTGACATATAAGTTTCCCCATTCAAGAACCATTCCTTGACAAAACAAATATTCAAGGGATAGTGCGGATTCTTATCAACACTAACACTTCACAGAATTGGTCTTAGTTGGTCTTTGTCTCATCCAAGACATCACAACTTACCAATCTCAAATGTACAAGAGTAGAAAACATTTTACACTTACATTTGACTAGTGTTAATAAATCTTCATTTATGTCACTCAAGGTTACAATCTTGGAGTATGACTCTAGGAATTGTTTTGGAACGAAGTATGACTCATCTTCTTGATTTTAACCAATCCAACAATTCATGACCTCTCTTCTTAGACATAATAATGCACTAAGATGTCCTTAGAGTATGAATTTGTGATATGGTTTCATAATCATTAAGATGATCATGAAATATGATACTAAAGTACTCTCCCATCCTTTCATATTTGAGAAACTTTTATCTTTCTGCCTAATTTGATTCTTCTCATTTGTTTTGTCATACATTGTAACCTTTCCAATGTTACAGAATTATACTTAACCTCATAAGTATAATCATATTTACTAATTTTTAGTAAATCATGAAAAAATCAATCTTTGTGGTGGACCTTGACCAGCGCACACCCAGTGTACCTAATTCCTTAGTCCTTCAATTGACTCACATATACATGTGATCAAAGAATTAGTCTTAATTTTCAAAGATGAAAATTCTCCTTCATCATACAATACAACTTGTATGATTCCAAGTTTCTGTCCAATTGAAACTTGGGTGATGAAAACTTTCTTCATTTGGTAAATTCAAACACTACCACAAATGAAAGAATCAAATCCACTTTCCAATATTGCTATTACTGGAAACATATAAGCAACAATTTTCCACAGATGCCATTGTAAGGATATTTTTAAAATAAATAAAATTAAAACCCTTTTTTTTCTTTTATTTTAAAACTTTGCGGAAAAACTTATCCTTACAATCCACATGAAAACCTTGTTGTTATCTATTCATAAGTAATATATTATAACTCTTAAGCAACAGCTCAAAATTCTGATTACCGAACCATGCGATCGAAACCCACCTTCGCAATCAGAATCAACATATACTTACTTTAAGCTTCCTATCTTTTCTTTTGATTCGTAAAACATCAACATGTGACCCATTCACATTATGTAATAAGAATCTCCAAATAGAAACTTAATAGAGTTAGTCAGTGGACTTTAACTGAAGTAGAGTCAAACTTTTTGACTTGATCAATCTTATGATCTTTCAGGTAAATATGGCAGCTTTGCAATCAATGTCCCTCCCTTTGGCAATAAAACATATAGACCCTTTGGTAATGGCACATGAGACTATCTTAGACTTAGCCTTTCTCTTTACCATTTGGTCAACCGAGTTGACTATGGCCGATCCCTTTCCATTGGGAAGAGAAATGCTTTTCTAGATATCCAATGCTACCATTGTCAATGTCTATTTAAGACTTGGGAAGTTGTTCTTTTAATCAAATTTGCTTTACTAGTGTTCCAAATCATTGCTGATTCCGCATCACAAAGCAAATTGATTAGATCATTAAGGCTCGTATCATAGTCTGTCTCATAGTAGTCCCAAAGAGACTCACTATGTTACTAAGAAAGTGATTGAACATCCAACTTTCACGAGACTTTGACACCCAACTCTCACGGCTTGTCAATATGTGACTTTATCTCCAAGATGTGAGAACACATAGACTATGCTTGCCAATAGGGATTGAGTGACTTTAAACTTTTCAAGAACTTATGGGTGAGGGAGAATAATTGGAGGAGGTGGAGGAAGTGAAGCATGATGTTGAGGGACACCATCTTCAAGAGATTTGGGAAGATCATAGTTGTCTGAACCAGACATCTATAATGGGAGAAAATCAAGTTAGTTGATTCAAAATCCTTAATATAACACCCGATATGAAATATTAAGGCTAGGACCCAACACAATATTTTATAACTTGGAAGAGGGATGTCGTAATCCAAGCTATAAAATATTTGAAGGTAGGTGAATGACGATTCACCAATTTCCACCATGAAAAACGAAATAATTTATTAGGTTTTAATTGGATTTGAAATTTCTAGATCTTTTGAGATTCATTGAACTTTTCAATGGCATGTTTCAATCTCGAGTGTGCCCTCTCAAATTTTGTGACTGGGATGCCGAGGATCACAAAACAAGGTGTGAATAACCATACCAATTCACTTGGCACCCTTAATATTATCACCTAATCAATGTGCCGGTTAACCACACACGCTCCATTGATCTATGACAAACATTAAGTCACCCTTCGTGATCCTTACTAGTCCAAGTTAGTGTGCCGGTTAACCACACACGCTCCACTAATGACTTGGTAAGGTACAAAGTGTGAATTCCATGGGCTAGCACCAAATTCACATTTTTCCTAAAGTAACTAAGATTGGGAATTAAATAAAAAATATTTAGTTACTTTATAATAATCATTATACTTTTAATGAGAATTTAAAGTCATTGTCCTACCCGTTCGGCTAACGACCCTCCACCGATCAAGCAAGCGGTGGGTAAGAGTGGACACCCATTAAGTTGTCATTTTATAGGCAACAACCTTATACCCACCTTACAGACCAGCTTCGTGAATGAGACTACTAACGGTAAAACGACTTATTCTTATACATATATATAATAATTAACCATTAATGTTATAAATAGTATAAATGTTGAATTTTAACTTTTAAAATTCTAAGTGTTGGAATTAAAGTTTATTAAAGTGTGTGAAACTTTTCCAAATTCCAAAACTTGAGGGCAAATTTTGAAACTATTCAAAACTAGTTAATTCCATGATTTATGTGTTTAAAGTAGTTTTAATCCAAAAACTCTTCAAGTTCCATAACTTGAGGACAAGTTATGGAAGACTTTAAACTAATAAAAGAATTACTTTTCTTTATTTTATAACTTATGGAATTAATTAAGGTTACACTTTATTTATATATTTATTAATGAAGTAACTCTTGAACCTCCATAACTTAAGGACAAGACTCTTCATCTTTTGTAACCATCCAAAACTTTTCATTTTATAACTTATGAATTAAAGGTTCATAAAAATGAAGACTCTTCATTTTCATGTAACTTATGTGTTTTAAGTGTGTGTTAAATAAAAGTGACCTTTGGAAATCCATAACTTGAGGACAAATTATGGACTCCATTAAAACACATAAATGATCAAGAATTAATTCTAAACAATTCAGCAAATAATTCCTAAATTCATAAGAACATGAACATGATCTTCAAAATTTCAAGAATCATATGAACACATAAAATCATGGAATTTTGATATATGCTATTGTAAATGGATTAAAACAGCCATTACACCAACTAAAATAAGTTTTATAACACCAAAACAATTTAGGGTAATGTTTCTAGTCTATTTCCAGCAGCAAAAGTCGAAAATATGCACTCTCTCGATCCTACTCGTCGAGTGCATGAACCTACTCGACGAGTAGGTTGAAGTTTTCCTTGGACTCGTCGAGTCCCCCCCATGGACTCGGCGAGTCCATCATGCAGACAGCAACGATTTCGACTTTTTTCACTATTTTGCATCAAGTATCAAACAAGCAAGCCTAGTCTCTGATACCACTGTTGGGTTTTGAGCAATCTAACACTTCCTAAGTGTGCATGCAACCCTAATAAACCTTGGATCTATGTTTGTCTAAATACATGCAAAATAATAATTTTCCAAGGTTTATAACCTATCTAACATGGCATGGGGAACATTTCAACATAAAGAGTTAGAAAAGATTACATACATTTTTGATGAGTTTGGTTCTTGAGGAGTTTGAGGGCCAAGCACCAATAGTGTGAATGCCTCAAATGGAATCACAAAACACCACAAACTCTTGGAAAACTTTGAGAGAGTGTATACACTTGTATATTTCGGCCACACACAAGCTCACACACACTAGTTCACTAGTTACACTTTAGGCTCCATTTCATGCTCCATAAGCATGCTTATATAGTGTGCATGGTTAGGGTGAAACCCTAATAACCCATGACCTTTCCTTTTCCAAGGATCCATGGGTTAAAAGCTCCATGGATCATCCATGGACTTCCATATTAGCTTAGCCCATTAACAAATGAGTATTAGCCCACACTATATAAAATATAATAGCCCACAATTAATTAGTCTTCCTTTTAATCTCTAAATTAATTCATAATTAATTTAAGACTAAGACTAATTAAATAACATGACTTCATATTAATATATTATAACTTATAATATATTAATAATCATATGTGTATAACTCTCATAAAATTATCCATAAATAGTTTGAATGAGATGCAACCCAAATGGACCATGCCGGGTCGGGTCAAGTATATACCAAATAAGTTATGGACTTAGACACCTTATCCAACAACCATATAATCACCACATCCACTATAAGCATAGTTTAGCATAGCTTGTGATATGTAGATGATGGTCTAACATATCTAACTTCCGTTTATAATCAATTATTTAAGATACTTCCGTTTTCTATTATCTATTGATTTTAATAAGTATGTGTATTTGATTGCTCCATTTGTTGCCTTATGGCATTAAGACCAAAGACCGACCCATATATCAATTTTCAACTGCTAAAGCACACCATGTCACTATAACCCATTAAAGATGTCATAGAAAAACATAGTTAAAGCCGGTTGGCTCTCTTGGTTATAAAATACAATCCGCTATATCCATGTCATTATTTATGTTTTTTCCTAGCATATGCATTCCAAAAAAAATAATAATAAAGATTCTAGATATACTATAAGGGATCACCATTGATTCTAAGATTCATATTATAAAGCAACAAACAAAACCAAACCAAACCATATAGTAAACAAGCATAGAATGCCACAAACCAAATAAGTTAATAAGACCAAATAAAATGCTATATCCTAAACCCATAAGATAAGTAAACCTTCAAGACAACATTGATTAGTTTTAGTTTTAGGGAGTTCATCGAATCAATATTATCTTAAGCTTGAGGGTTAACCCACTTAAGGTCCTTCACCACCTCCCACGTGAAGTCGGGATCATCCCTACCAAAATGTCCATAAGCAGCGGTCTTCAAGAACCTCCCATTACCACCTCTTTTTAAATCAAGATCAATCGAGATCATTCCAGGCCTAAAATCAAAGTTCTCATTCACAATCTTCAAAATCTCTTTGTCATGAATCTTCCCTGTTCCATATGTGTCCACAAAAACCGACAATGGCTCAGGGATACCAATAGCATACGAGACTTGAACAATGGCCCTTCTTGCGACCCCACAAGCCACAATGCTCTTGGCAGCTTGCCTAATTTAACCATAACACTTCAGACCCAGAGTTACATATTAGAGGGTTGTTTCCTTTTTTACTTCTTGTACATATTAGAGGGTTGTTTCCTTTTTTACTTCTTGAACATGGTTTAATAGAGAAGAAAAAAGTCCTAAATCAATAATACCTTAATCAACTTCAACTCATTATTACTTAAAACTTTTTGTATCTTGCATTTAATTTAGAGGGTTATATGTTAAAATATATGGGGGCTGAAGTCTGGATTTCGCTTTAGGGTTACCATAGTAATAAAAACATACTCCAAGGTGTAAAGTGAAAGTTTTGAAAAGATAATATTTAATATTATTTTCCAATTTGCAGTTCATGATTTTCTGTTGTTTCCAGATTATTAAGAGAGAGAAAGTGTCACCTGACAATGTAAGCACCGCTGCGGTCCACCTTGGTTGGGTCCTTCCCGGAGAAAGCACCACCGCCATGAGCACCCCAACCACCGTAGGTGTCAACGATGATTTTCCGACCGGTAAGACCAGCGTCACCGTGAGGTCCACCGATTACAAAACGTCCAGACGGGTTCAAATGGTAGATTGTCTTCTCGTCGAGATAATTCGTCGGAACCACCGGTTTGATCACATGCTCTTCCAGATCAGCGGCAATCTCATCGTTGGTGACCGTTTCATCATGCTGCGTCGATATCAGAATGGTGTGGACGCGTATCGGAACCATGGCTCCTTTGTCGTTGAAGTACTCGACGGTGACCTGGGTTTTCCCGTCGGGGCGGAGCCAGGTGCAGGTCCCGTTTTTCCGAACTTCAGTTAATCGGGCTCCAAGTTTGGTCGCAAGAACATGGCTGAGCGGCATGAGCTCAGGGGTCTCATCGGTGGCGTAACCAAACATATGACCTTGGTCACCGGCGCCGATTTCTTCCGGCTTCTTTGTTAAGTGACCATGGACACCCTGGGCGATATCGGGGCTTTGTTGCTCAATATTGACGAGTACTTTGCAGTTGTCGGCGTCTAAACCCACATCATCGGAAACAAATCCGATCTCGCGACAAGTATCACGGACGATTTTCTCGTAATCGATGTTAGCTTTGGTTGTAATTTCACCAAAAACCATTACCATGTTCGTTTTGGTGCAAGTTTCACAAGCAACCTTGCTGTCTGGGTCCTGTGCTAGGCAGGCGTCAAGGACGGCGTCGGAGATCTGGTCGCTGAGCTTGTCTGGGTGGCCTTCGTTAACGGATTCGGATGTGAACAAAAACGTCTCCATTGTTGCAGACCTGTCAGTCAAGTATATTTGCTTTTAAAATCTGCTAAAACGTATTGAACTTGATTCAGAAGTGATATTAACTCAGAAAACACATTTCGAAACACCATATAATTATCAAACATCGATTTTCATATGAGTATATACAGCTATGGGTATAGGAAGTTGTATGAAAACACAAAAATCGGATCGTTTTTTGGCGATATTTGTGGTTCAAAGCAGTAAAATTGAATCGGAGAAAGTGTATAGCCTGAAATACCTTGAGAAACGAAGAGGATGATGAGCTGCTGTGGATTTCCTCTCTTTTGAAAACACTAACGAGACGATTTCAAGAGATTAAAAATATGGGGAACAGAGATTATAACATAAAAGATTCATCGGCATAATGGCATCATGTGATCTTAGTCGTTCATTTGATAGTCGGTTTCACTGGGTTTTTTTTTGGTTAATTTATTGTGATTTTAGATAAACACCTTCAGTACTTTCTCGTTATCGACTTCTCCTGCTAAAATGGCAGGGGTTCTTTTTGGTTAATTTATTGTGATTTTCTCTTAACTTATTTTCCAAAATTACATAAGTTTGTTTTTTGTTTTTTTAAAGACAAAATTGCAAAAATGGTCTCTGTGGTATGTATTTTTTTTGGGTTTCAGTTTAAACCTCAATTTTTTTGGATTCATGGTCCTTTTGGTATAGTTTGTACGCAAAATTGGCCCCCCAACTTAACTACCGTTAAGTTTTTGTTGTTAACCTCATCATGTGCATTTCACATGAGCGTATATTTGTCTTTTCACTTCTAAAGGATTATTTTTGCACCTTTAAAAAGTAATACCTTTTTTTATTTATTTTAATAATGAAAAAATAAAAGATCTCTCTCTCTTTCTCTCCACAACCTTCCCCACTATTGGGAATCGATCTCACCAGGTACTGCTCCATCTTCATTTCTTCACCACTTCAGCTAGCTCAAACCACATCACCTGCGAACACCCATAGAAGTTCAATCAATCAAAAACCCAATATGAAGAAATTACACTCAGCCTTCAGATTCTACGAAAATTCCCTACATTTGAAGCTTTGAATACTTTAAATTCGGTCAAGGGTTTTTCCATATAAACAACTTTGCCCTCTGTTACCCATATGCATTTACACTTCATCTTCTTCCTCAACCAGTCGTTGAAACGAGACCATTGACCATCACATTCTTCAGCCACCTTTTCCCCTACTCAAGCACTTCGTTCGCTGTTCCACCGATGTCGATGCTGTCGGATTCATCCTCCGCGCCGTCTTCTTCCTGAGATGGGTTCTTTATTTTAACAGCAAGATATTGGTTATCGATTGGCTTAATTTCACAAAATTAAAATCGATTTCTACTTTGCTGATTGCTATCGATTGATTGTCAATTTGTTCTCATTCTATTGATTTCTTCTGATTCTTCCAAATTGAGGGTTTGATCTTTGATAAACTTCTGATTCGATCGCCTTTTTCTTTGCTTTGAAGAACAAAGTGAATGTTCATAGAGTGTTTGCTCTTCGTAAAGCATTCATGTTGTTCGATTTTGAGGATGAGAGTATATAGGACTTGAAATTAATGCTCATCAAATGCTTAATATCCCCATTATATTTGAAAATAGGTCAAGAAAGATGATTTTTAACATTCTCATTTATGTTATCTAGACAACTTGTGAAGGAATCACTAGCAATGATTAGGTCTCAAATTCCTTTCATGAGGAAGTCGATGTTGGAGGCATATGTTGACATCATTTTTAGGGCTTAGAAGGCTGCAAATAGGGAGATAAGAGAGGAGATAAGTTGGAGGCATATGTAGGCATTGGTTGATAGCTCAACTTATGAGCAAGGTTATTGAGATAAGTTTTTCTTCGTGATTGAAATTGGATTGCACATGGACTTCTAGTAGATACTTCAAAGTGAAGTTGATAGTGGGCATGGTGTTTAGTTTTGAACTTAGGCAGCTAAGAAATCTTTATGCAGACGTTTTATGTAAACAGAAGCACTATTACATCTCCTTGTACATGAATGTAAAAACTGATTTATATATGAAGAGGAGGGATAACATCATAACGTCATCTGGGACTGTGTGCTTTTGAGAGAAAGAGAGAGAAAGAGAGAGAGAGAGAGAGAGAGAGAGAGAGAGAAATCTTTTATTTTTTCATTATTAAAATAAATAAAAAAGTAATACTTTTTAAAAAAAATTAGGTGCAAAAATGGTCATTTAGAAGTGAAAAGACAAATATACCCTCATGTGAGATGCACATGAGGAGGTTAACAGCAAAAACTTAATGGCAGTTAAGTCGGGGGACCAAATTTCCGTACAAACTAAGCCAAAAGAACCATGAATCCAAAAAAGTCGATGTTTGGACTAAAACCCCAAAAAAAATGCATACCACAGGGATCATTTTTGCAATTTTGTCTTTTTTAAACAAAAATGTTTATGGACCAACAGAAGAAGTGGACTAAACATCTGCATTACTGTTTATTTTTTAACATCTAAAGACTGCTGCAATAAGGTTGAAATTAACCATATAATAGTTAAAAATAATTCTAAAAGGAAATGACATAAAAACCCTTAAGTTTTCACAAAAATGTCGGTTTTACCCTTGGACGTGTTTTATGTCCAATAAAGCCCGAAGTTTTGTTTAATTTGTTCATTTTTACCCTTGTGCCGGTTACCTAGGTTACCTAATACTAGTAAAGCCCTTGAATTTTCAAAAATATTCGGATTTACCTTTAATTTTTTCAAAAATGTTCGAATTTACCGTTACCTTGATAGTTATTTTGATGATTCTTCTTCTTCTTCTTATTATTATTATTATTATTATTATTATTATTATTAATACATTTTTAAATGTATAAAAATATTTTATACACATATTTTTAAATGTATAAAAATATTTTTACTAATATAAATATATTTTTAAAAATATATATACTTGTATTTAATATTTATATATACATTTGAAAGCCCATGTATTCCTATAGAAATGTATTTATATATTTAAAATGTATTTATTTGTATTTAGTAGGTATAAGTATAAATATATATTTATTTTATATAAAAATATGTTATGTACATATAAATATAAAAATGTGTATTTATATGGTTTATATTATATAAAAGATCTAATTATCTATATTTGTACATATTACCAAGTATAAATATGTATTTATTATCAAACATCATACTAAATAGATAAGCAAAATAAATATTAATTAATTAAAAACATAACGTAACAATTATAAAACCCTCCTAATTAGAAAACCTCAATAAAAACACTCGATTACAGATAAGATTTAGTATAAAATTTGAAAAAACCTATATTATTCAACTATATTTGGTTAATAGTGAGTAGATAATAATAAATGATCTACAAATAACACTCGTAAATGGAAAATATACAGAATATAATTCAAAAAAACATCGACAAAAACACTTGATCGCTATAAAAATTAAGTATTATCAACTTAAAATCATTCATTAACTGTTTTTATCTCAAAAATTGATAACGAAATGTCAAATACGAGTGTAAACTTCATTTATGATTGTTGTAAGTTCACAAAAAGATCACGAAATGCATCCACTTTTATATTGATCTGAAACATTTGTTTTTGTAAAATCAGTCATTGACGATATTTTTTAATTTATCAAACTTTTTCTGTTCGATTCAACAATTATAGATGAAGATTTAGGGTTTTCAAATGTATACAAATACAAAATACAAGTACATATCTTTTTAAAATCATATTTATGTTAGTAAAAATATTTTTATATATTTAAAAATGTGTGTATAAATATTTTTATACATTTAAAAATGTATAAAAAATATTTTTATACATTTAAAAATGTATGTATAATTTTTTTTTTTATAAAATTAATAATAATAATAATAATAATAATAATAATAATAATAATAATAATAATAACAACAACAACAACAACAACAAACAACAACAATCAATGTAAGGGTAAATCTGAATATTTTTGAAAAACTTAAGGGTAAATCCAAACATTTTTGAAAATTCAAGGGCTTTAATGGCATTAGGTAGCCGGTAAGTTACCTGAAAACCGAATACAAGGGTAAAAATGAACAAATTAAACAAAACTTTGGTCTTTACTGGACATAAAACACGTCCAAAAGTAAAATCGATATTTTTGTGAAAACTTAAGGGCTTTTATGTCATTTTTCCCTAATTCTAAATCAAAATTTTATTTAGTTAATCATATGGAAATCAATACAAATATCATTATGATAATACAATTTTTAAAAACGTGTATATAAAATAATTAAGCTTAATATTTGCTAAATAACAATAAATAAAATTGTTATTTTAACGAAAAACGTATTTATTTTGTTAATTTTTCGAAGACGATGATTATTTTTCCAATTAGCTTCGATAAATTTGGTAACTTTAATAATTAACCTTATAATTTATTAATATTTAGTTATAGACAATGTAACAAAAAAAAAATTATTTATATGAAATTTATCAAACGATTTTGAAATTATGTAAAATATACTCGAATTGTTGATAATATTCTTCATAATATTATTAAAATAATAAAATATTGTTGAAAAAAAATAATAAAACAAATTTATATAAAATAATATAATTTAAAGTAAGATGTGAAGATGTTTAAAGATGAGAGTCCAATGTTATGTCACAAAACACATACCCATTAATTTTTAAGTCAGAAGTCTTATGAAAATTAATCGGTTACAAATGATCAAGTGGTGTGCATGTGCTCCACGACAGAACAAGAAGTGGTCAAAACCAGGGATGAACCCAAGATTTCATAATAGGTGTTGTCAGCGGCACGTTTTTCTTTTTACATAATGACACAAATATTAAAAAAAAAAAAAAAAAACGAAAAATTCAAAAAATTTTAAACTGTATCCGAAAAAACAGAGGTTGCCAGTGTCTATAATCACTATAGGCACCATAGTAGAACCGTCCCTGATCAAAAATGAAAAATCAAATACGGTAGAAAAAACAAACATTCCCTAAATGTTCAAACAAATCTTTCATGTATGATAACATGCAAAAATTAATAATGCACATAAATAAATCAAATAGAGATCTTTTAAAATAAATTCTAAAACATTATTTAGCAACCATTCCAATTAGGGTATTGCCTAAGGAATAATGCCTTTAAACCATAATTTCCAATTTTACGTTCTGCCAAATATACATAAATCCTTCAAAACAAACAAATATTCAAATGGAAACTATGAAAAATAATACTCATCTTCAGAATCCTTTTTTTTTTTGCAACCAAAAGTAAATATGTGGATCATTTTCAAATTAAATCAAATTACAAACCAATCGAAGGAAATTATACTTAGTTTTCAAAATTAAAATCTTTATAGACAAATATTTATAACATCAGATGGTTAATCTAATTACAAATCAATTGAAGGAAATTATACTTAGTTTTCAAAATTAGAATCTTTATAGACAAATATTTATAACATTAAATGGTAAGCTAGTCTATACAACAAGTTATTTGCAAAAAGGGACAGTTTTGATATCAAAAGCTTTGTGGAAATGAAACTTTTTTAATTGTATTTGTAGAAATGGGGTTTCTCGCCACTAAATCAATACTTAAAAAAGATCTCCAAAACTTATAATATTGCTCATTTGTCTTTTAAAATATGTTGTTATCCTTTTAAATATATTTTTTCTACATTTACCTAATTTATATAATATCAACACACTTATAGTCTCTTATAACTTACAACATTGGTCCCTTATCTTATAAAAATATGTTACTACTACATCTTATTAAATTTACAAAATAGTTCATAAAAATATTTAACATTGACCCTTATTTTATGAAATATGTTACTACTAATTTCTACTATATTTTTATATGTATTTTGTATATTTACTTAATTTTAATAATATTTAGCATAAATATATTATTTA